CCCTAAACCCTAAACCCTAAACCCTAAACCCTAAACCCTAAACCCTAAACCCTAAACCCTAAACCCTAAACCCATACCTCAGGGCGCACAAAAAATACCACCCATCTAGGATTTAGGGGACTCCATGTCCTCTCGGCTGCAACAAGGCTGCAACAAGTGCGGGGAACCAGGGCGCTGAAGGGGCAAGAGGAGGGCTCTCGCTAAACCCTAAACCCTAAACCCTAAATCCTAACCCCGAGCCTTGTCTTCGTCCTGTCGTGCCTGACGGTGGGAGGATTTCAGGGGCTTCAGGGGCGGCCTTGGGGTATTTGACTTTTTCGCCTCTTGCTCGTGGCCTGTAGCCATGGCTTCTGGTACAAGTCCCTCAACCCTCAACCCTCAACCCTCAACCCCCTACCCCCTTAACTTATTAACCCTACCCCCTTAACACAATGGTCTGAAGTTCTGAACCCGCAAAGCTGTAGTAGGTATGAGCTCAGGGCTCATTTTAAGATTAAGGTTTGGGGTTTAGGCGTTTACCCTCACCTAAGGAATAAAACACTATCCGAGATCCCCAAAAGGACCAAACATGTAGATCGAACCCCCAAACCCTAAACCCTAAACCCTAAACCCTAAACCCTAAAACCCTAAGCCCCAAACACCCAACCCTAAAGGCCCTAAGCCCACGTAGGTTTAGGGGTGCACATGCACCTGGCCTTCTTTCTTCTGGCTGCTTCGGCCATGGCTTCTTCTCTCCTCAACAGGATGGCTCCACGGCTCACACAAGGGACGTCCGAAAGGTTTAGGGTTTAGGGTTTAGGGTTTAGGATTTAGGGTTTAGGGTTTAGGGTTTAGGGTTTTTGGGGTTTTCGAGATTGGGGGTACCTTATTGGGATCCTTATTTTTGAGAATCCTACTATTTGGGGGTTTATATTACCCCTTGTTCTTAGTAGGGAATGAGGGAATTTGGACCTATATACATATATATAGATATATCTATATATGTTTTTTGTGTTTTTATTTATGCATACCCTTCAAATCAAGAACCAGCCAGATTAGGGGCCCTGATTTTCGTAAACCCCCCCCCCCATAAACATAAGGCTTCTACAACCATGGCACTCCAAAATCCCCCTTTTCGGGCCCCTTAACCGCCAACAGTAGGATCCTGATGTTTACGTGGATTTCTGGGCCCCGACACACCCGAGACCCTTACCTCGGGTTTGGGGCTTTGGGGCTTTGGGGGTTTTAGGGTTTAGAGTTTAGGGTTTAGGGTTTAGGGTTTCGGGCTTGGCTCTACAGCAGGACCCGCGCAACGAAAGGGCGACCAACGCCGTTGAAGTCCCCGCACGGCCCCAACACATCCTCCAACCCCAGACCCCGCAACTCTAAACCCCAAAACCTTCATCCTAAACCCTAATTAAACCGTAAACCCTAAACGCTCAACCCTAAACCCTAAACCTTAAACCAGGCAACTCAGCAGTGCTGTGATGTGGAGAGTAGGCGCCAGGCTCATCCTGCGCTTGCTTGCACTTCCGAGCCTCAGAGGCTTAGGGGTTTGGTTTAGTGTTTTGGGTTTAGGGTTTAGGGTTTTGGGTTTAGTGTTTTGGGTTTTGGGTTTAGGGTTTTGGGGCTAAGGGATTTCGGGCAAATAAAGTTTATAGGGCTTTGGGTCCTCAACCCTGAGCCTGCACATGCCTGTACAGATTCCGTACTCCCCGCAACGTATGGGCGATTGCATCCCTAAACCCGAAACTACTATTTGCTTAAGTAACCCTCCCCAAGAAAGACTCTTCCCTATAGGGGAACTTAGTGCTTCTTATCTTTCATTTTGGGGGGGTGCTTAAGCCAATAGTCGCAAACTGCAACGTAGGCAGCGCGCAGGCTTGTGGTGCGCAAACCCTAAAACCTAAACCCTAAACCCGAAACCCTAAACCCGAAACCCTAAACCCTAAACCTAAACCCTAAACCCTAAACCCTAAACCCTACTGCTGGTGGGCGCCGCGCGTACTCCTGCGCATCAGCGATGCGCTGCTGGCGGAGGCGCTCGTTTTCGTCGTGGAGCCTCGGCGAGTACCAAAGGTTTAGGGTTTAGGGTTTAGGGTTTGGGGTTTAGGGTTTAGGGTTTAGGGTTTAGGGTTTAGGGTTTAGGGTCTGGGGTTTAGGGTTTAGGGTTTAGGGTTTAGGGTTTAGGGTTTGGGGTTTCGGGTCTCGGGTTTCGGGTTTAGGGTTTAGGGTTAGGGTTTAGACTACCTCCTAAGAACCCAAAACCTACTTTTTTGGGTATGTTCCCTAAGAATCCGATGAAGGGCTCTGTTGTAAGAGCCTACAACAAAGTAGGCTTTGAGTTTTCTTTAGGGGCGACACGCAGTGCCCTCGAGCCTAGCTTTTCACCGCGAATCACAGCGCATCCAACCCTAAACCCTAAACCCTAAACCCTAAACCCCAAACCCTACATCCCCACTCTGAGGCAGGGTGCCATTTCAGCATGCTGTCTTGCTCACGCTGCCGCCGTTCCTGCAACGCAGCAACCTTTTTCTCGAAGCTCAGAGCCTAAACCCTAAAGCTCCAGCATCTCCGGCAGTCCTCAAGCCCTAAAGCCCTAAACCCCTAACCTAGACTCGGGAGTTACCTAGGGATAAACAGGGTGCCCTCTTGGGTTTTATGGGGATTATAAGGGAACCCCAACCCTAACAAAAGGAAAAAAGGGCCTACTCCCGGTCCTAGTGAACCCTCAACCGAATCGTGCCAAGCAGTCCTCATCCGCTTTCCGCCGTCTCCTCAGGCTTTCAAGACTCCTGGCGCAACGCGTCGCGGAAAAAACGCGGGAGAGGGTTTGGGGTTTAGGGTTGAGGGCTGAGGGTTTGGGGTTGTGACGTTAGAGCTCTTGAGTTTAGGGTTGCGAGCTTTAAGGCCAGACCCTAAACTTTTCTTCGCCTTCCCCTAGAACCCTAAACCCTAAACCCTAAACCCTAAACCCAAAACCCAAAACCCAAAACCCTAAACCCTAAACCCTCACTTAAGGTTTCGACGCAGAAGTTGGCCGGGTCACTGCTCGTTGATGTTCTTGGCCTTGTCCCTCAGCGCGTCGTGGTGCGCCTGGCACAGGCTCTCTACATGGCAATCCTAAACCCTAAACCCTAAACCCGAAACCCCAAACCCTAAACCCTAACTTGTCTAAACCCCGAAGCTTTTACAGGGTGCAGGGTTCAGGGTGCAGGGTGCAGGGTTCGGGGTGTAGGGTTTAGAGTTTAGGGTTTAGGGTTTAGGGTTCTCGAATTTAAACACTGGCTGCGCAAAAATCTCAATGCGCCTGGCACGTGACCCTCAAGCCCTAAGCCTCAAGCCCTAAACCCTAAACCCTAAACCCCAAACCCTAAACTCTAAACCCTAAAGCCTAAAGCCTAAACCCAAAGCCCAAGAAAGCTTCGAGGGCCTTCTCGGCTTCGGCGATCCGCCGATTCTCTATGACTTGGTTGAGCATGTCCTGCTGAAGGGTTTAGGGTTTAGGGTTTAGGATTTAGGGTTTAGGGTTTGGGGTTTCGGGTTTAGGGTTTAGGGTTTGGGGTTTAGGGTTTCGGGTATGTAGGGTGTAGGGAGTGTTTAAGGCTTCAGGGTCTAGAGGGTTGGAGGGGGCGGTTTTTGGGGTTGGAACCTGCAACCAGCTTCCGCAACCCCGAAACCCTAAACCCCACACCCCAAACCCTAAACCGTATACCCCTAAGCCCTAAACCCTAAACCCTAAACCCTAAACCCGAAACCCTAAACCGGAGCCTGGCGCTCTTGCTGTCGCGCGCGCTCTTCGTCATCCTGCATTTGCCTGAACTCCTTCGGCTCAGAGGGGCTTCTGGGCTAAGGGTTGGTTCGGGGCGTCGGCGGCCAACCCTAAACCCTAAACCCTAAACCCTAAACCCTAAACCCTAAACCCTAAGCCCTAAACCCTAAGCCCTAAACCCGAAACCCTAAGCCCTAAGCCCTAAGCCCTAAACCCTGCCTTCATCTGCGTGTCCAGGACATTCTTGAACTTGGCCATGTGTGCGTGCTTTCCGGCCTGGCGAGATGTTTTCAATGGTGGAGAAGTCGGAGTCCCTGGTTCTTCAAGTTTAGGGTTTAGGGTTTAGGGTTTAGGGTTCAGGGTTTAGGGTTTAGGGTTTAGGGTTTAGGGTTTAGGGTTTAGGGTTTAGGGTTTAGGGTTTAGGGTTTAGGGTTTAGGGCTTTCGTTCAGGGTTTAGGGTTTAGGGTTTAGGGTTTAGGGTTTAGGGTTTAGGGTTTAGGGTTTAGGGTTTAGGGTCCAGGGTCGAGGGTTCAGGGTTCAGGGTTTAGGGTTTAGGGTTTCGGGTTTAGGGTCCAGGGTCTAGGTTTGGGGTTTAGGGTTTCGGGTTTAGGGTTTCGGGTTTAGGGTTTAGGGTTTCGGGTTTCGGGTTTAGGGTTTAGGGTTTAAGGTTTAGGGTTTCGGGTTTAGGGTTTAGGGTTTAGGGGCGCAGTTGCAAGAGCAGGTGCTCTGGCTTTTTTGCGGTGCCGGTGCATGGACAGGAACCTCGCCCCTGCCCAAGCACTGCGTCACAAAGACGTAAAGCATCAGCAAGTAGCCCTGCTGTAACATCTCTGCCTACAACCCTAAACCCTAAACCCTAAGTACTTCCCAAAATAAGAAGTGCACCGAAGGAAGGGGTCTGAAGAATTAGAATAAGGTTTTTGGGGGTTGCTATAGTTTATAAGTCCGAAAGGGACCAGAAGGCCGAACCCCCGATATTACAGCAGGACTGCAGCAGGTTGAGTTGGTGCAAACGTTGGGGCACTAAGACCTCAGCTGCCACAACTGTGGAGCACGTGAGGCACAGGGGAGGCCACAACGTAGCACAAGGCGCCACTCGATGGAGCGGCTTAAGAGGCCCTGGTTCCTTGGGACTAGGCCCCGGAGTAAGCTCCGATCTCCAGGTGAATTAGTTGAAATTGCTATTGAAAGGCACACATAAGCTTGGGTGCTCGTGGTCACGTGGGCGTCAGCAGCCGGCTGAAGCTCATCAGTACTCCTGGCATTCGGGCGACAGGAAGCTCAGGAGATGTAACTCGCTTGGATGCAAAGGGCAGGGGCGCAAGTTCAGCTAACCTGCACGCTGCACCATCTGCCTCGCCCTCATCCTCCTCCTCACCATCGCATGTCTCCGCACCCACTTCCTCGTAGTCCTTGCCTGGCATTCGAAGATCCAGATCAACTTTCGCACCATTTGGAACTTTTTTGTTTTTTTTTTTTTTTTTGGGGGGGGGGGGGGGTCCTATCTACTTCGGGCCTGCAGCCCCAATAGACCCCGCCTGAAGGTTCAGGGGCTGTGAGAAGAAGGGTTCCAAGTACCCTAGTTCTAGCATAGGTTGCCTTACCCCTGACTGTCACAAGAGATGGGGGCTTACGAAAAAGTAAGGGACCCCTAGTATAGACCCCGCATATAATTCTTTTTTAAGGAGCCCAAGAATCAAGGACGAAAAAGTAAGGGACCCCCTAGTATAGACCCCCAAAAAGTCGGATTCCCTTATGTTAAGGACCCCAAAACTCCTAATGATATCGGAAACCCCCTGATATTATAACAACCCATGACCCTTCAAGTGAGATCGCCTGAGCCCTAAACCCTAAACCCAAAACGCTAAACCCTAAACCCTAAACCCTGAACCCCAAACCCTAAACCCTAAACCCTAACCCTCAAACAGGCGGGGGAGTGGCAGATGGCCGCCAAGTTTTCCATGCACTCAGACATCTCTCCACCTCCCAGACACGCGAAGGCAGCCGGTCGTGACGGGGGTTAGGACTTAGGGTTTTGGGGTTTGGGGTTTGGGAGCTGGGGTTTAGGGATTAGGGTTAGGGTTTAGGGTTTAGGGTTTGAGGGCTTTAGGAGTTTTGGGGGTTGGTGCTGTGGTGTCTTTGGTGCTTTAGGGTGTCAACTTCGTGGGCTGTTTAGGACATAGCCCCTGACCTGTACTCTTGCTGCTCATCGGCATGTCGGTCCGCGTGCGCGTGCGGCCACCAGTCATGGTTGGTTTTTGGCGCCTCAACAACCCCAAACCCTAAACGCTAAACCCGAAACCCTAAATCCTAACCCTAAACCCTAAACCCTAAATCCTAACCCTAGACCCTTCACCCTAAACCCTAAACCCTTCACCCTAAACCCTAAACCCGAAACCCTAAACCCTAAACCCTAAACCCTAAACCCTAAACCCTAAACCCTAAACCCTAAACCCTAAACCCTAAACCCTAAACCCTAAACCCTGACCCTAAACCCAAAACCCTAAACCACAAACCCTAAACCTCCCAAACCCTTCGCGTTCCCTGAGAAACCTCCCGCCTACGTCTCCGACCAGTTGCTCGGCCTGGCCATTGCTCTCTCGCAGGTTCTCCTCGGAAAAGCCCAGAAGGCTAACAGAGTTTAGGGTTTAGGATTTAGGGTTTAGGGTTGAGGGTTTAGGGTTTAGGGTTTGGGCTCTTGGACTAGGGTTCAGTGTCCAGGGTTTAGGGCTCAGGGTTCCGGGTTCAGGGCTAAACCCTAAACCCTAAACCCTAAACCCTAAACCCTAAACCCTAAACCCTAAACCCTAAACCCTAAAGGGCTTGGGGTCCGTGAACCCTAAGTCCAGAATCTGAGCTACCCCGCCATGCCGGTCAACCAGCTCGAGAAGATCGAGCTCGCCGCGGTGGTGTTCTCAAGCACTGCCACCTGAGAATCCGGCTTTCAGGGTTTAGGGTTTGGGGTTTAGGGTTTAGGGTTTAGGGTTTGGGGTTTAGGGTTTAGGGTTTAGGGTTTGGGGTTTGGGGTTTAGGGTTTGGGGTTTAGGGTTTAGGGTTTAGGGTTTTGGGGGGTCTGGAGTCGAACTCTCAGTTTAGAGTTTACGGTTTCATTAGGGGCTTGGAGGCTTCAAGGTTGGAGTTAAGGATTTCTTAGGGCTTTGGGCATTCCGGGCTTAGGAATTCTTCAAGGTTTGGGATCCAGGATCGAAGGCTCCAGGTACGGGCCCTGACTGAGGGCCTTAGAACTCAGGGGTTTAGGGTTTTTTTTGGGGGGGGGGGGGGTTTCAGGCCTTGGGGTGGTTTAGGATCTAGGGGTGATAGGCATCAGGGCTCAGAAAGTGGTGTTGGGCATCAGGGCTCAGAAAGCGCAGCCCACTGTGGGGATAAGGTCCCATGGTTCTGGCCTTAGACAAACCCTAAACCCTAAACCCTAAACCCTCAACCCTCAACCCTCAACCCTCAACCCTCAACCCTCAACCCTAAACCCTAAACCCTAAACCCTAAACCCTAAACCCTAAACCCTAAACCCTATAAACCCTAAACCCTAAACCCTAAACCCTAAACCCCCCAGCCGCGCGATTCTGGGAGCCTGGCTTCGGGCGCCTCACTCTTCGGGTCCTTGTAGCTCCAGATGGCGAAGCCAGTCGGGCTCCAGTCCACAAACTGGCGGGAACCCTCAACCCTCAACCCTAAACCCTAAACCCTAAACCCCAAACCCTAAACCCTAAACCCGAAACCCTACTAAACCCCAAGATTCAGGATATTCTGGGGCTTTTGGGACTTAGGCTTGAAGGCACTTTAGGCTTTGAGCTTTGGAGTGAGGGCTTCAGGGTTAGGGCTTCTCGGGCTTTTCGGGTGCAGGGTGCTAACGTGATTCAGGCTGCTGCCTGAAGGTTCATGGGCAGCTGTGTACTGGGCTCTCGTTAAGGGACTTAGAGTCAGTTACTGCAACTATTATGGTCGGACAAGACCGCACTTATAACTACCCATGAACGTTCAAGCAGGGTGCCGGCCCTTCGACCCTGAATTGAACCCGTGGGGCTCTGGACCCGTTTCTGGGACCATGCGTGTAGAGGGACAGGTGCGGGTTGCAGATTGCACAGAAGTTTGGGGCATAGCCTCAGCTCGAACCGGGCGCTTCTTTCCGACTCATATACCACGCCCTAACCCTCCCCCCAACCCAACTTGAGGGTTCAGTGGCACTTATAAAAAGGTTTGATAGTGCCTGGAACCCCTGCACCCTAAGCCCTACACCCAAAACCCCTAAACCCTTAACCAACCCTAACCCCCAAGGCTAAATAGAGTCCGGCCCTATTTGCATAAAAGGGTTAGGGTTTAGGGTTTAAAGTTTCACCCCCCAAACAAACCCTAAACCTGCCTGAAAGTTTCGGTCCGTCTTTATCTCCACCACCTGCCGCGACTGCTCGTGGGCTGCTTAGCTAGCGGCTCTGCAGTCGTTTTGGGAGGGGGGTCAGGGTTTGGGTTTAGAGCTCAAAAGGGCCTGCCCACGAAGCCTGCATGTTTACGTATCACGCTATAGTCTGAATCTGCAGTGTTATTCAGGCCTACTTGGAGGTTCATGGTACTTATTAACCAATTATAACTGTACTTATAACCCACTTATAAGCCCAATAAGTAGCCTCTTTCAAAGTCTCTGCAACTCCTGGGCCAAGATGATGATGGGTTTGGGGTTCTCGTAATCCTCATGGCGGTCATGGCATCCTTCTTCCAGCAGTCTGCTCTTGGGCCTGCAACCCTAAATCCGAAACGCTAAACCCTAAACCCTAAATCCTTGATGGTAAGAAGTTGTGATTAAGCAAGGGCGGGGGAAGGGAGAGGGGGAATGGAGGGGAGGGGGAAGGGGGGGAGGTGGGAGGAGGCGCCCCACATCACTGTGGGGTTAGGTCAAGATTTCAGGGTTTTGGGGTTTTGGGTTTTGGGTTTAGGGGTATCGTGGCAGGATTGTCTGGGGCTTGCTAAGCCTTGGCAATGACGCTGCTCTGCTCCACGCCGCGGCAGAACATGGAGACGGCCTCGGGAGACGTCTTCAGAGTTTGGTTGTTGAGGGTCTAGGGTCTAGGGTTTGGGGCATACAATGATACACATGTTCTAGACATAGAGTACAGATACAGTGCACATAATACAAAATGTATGTCTGTGCATAAGATATACATATTCATTTATTTACTTTGTTTATACATATTTATGTGATATGTAATTCACCATATAAAAGAACCTATGACGATACACAAAATGACATAGAAAAAATAACAATAAACAATAACAATAAACATAATCGTAACCAGAAGTACTAACAACAAGAAAATATCAATAAGCATTAAAAATTAAACATAGTAGTACAGTAGGAATAGTGTCTATTTGGGAGTTCACGAGAATAAGGGGCTCCCTTAAAATAAGGCCCCAATAAGGTACCCGCCTGAAACCCTAAACCCTAGACCTTAGACCCTAGACCTTAACCCCTTAGGAGTTTGAACCATCCCGATTCAGCTAGAAAAACCATGGGCAGGAGCAACAATGACACCACCATCAACAAAAGCGACACCTGCAAGAGAAGACCTTGGGTTTTTGTAAGGTTCCCCTGAACCCTAAACCCCAAACCCTAAGCCCTAAACCCTTCAATTCTAAACCCTAAACCCTAAACCCTAAACCCTAAACCCTAAACCCTAAACCCTAAACCCTAAACTCTCCCGCCCTACGCTCTATAAAACCCCTGAGGGCAAGGCGATGCTTTTGCCGGCATCTTTGCGGTTGAAGTTGCAGCAGGAGAGCGTGCCCTGGCATGCCAGTAGAACTTACCGGTTCTTTAGGGTTTAGGGTCTAGGGTCTAGGGTCTAGGGTTTAGGGTTTAGGGTTTAGGGTTTAGGGTTTAGGGTTTAGGGTTTAGGGTTTAGGGTTTAGGGTTTAGGGTTTGGGGTTCAGGATTTAGGGTTTAGGGTCTAGGTGCCTTATATCCCTCACCACATACCCATTAAGGGATTCCGTTGGCCCAATATGGGGCCGCATCCCTGCTACGAACCGGTAGCTGTGGCAAGTTAAACACAATGTCATCCTGCTATACTAGAAACAAGAATAACAGGATAATGGAAGAAGCAGCACATGGAATTTAAACGACCACTTGGAAACTTTCTGACAGAATAACACGATCATAGAACAATGGAACAACTCAGGAACACAACAGCATAATAAGTTATCTTTCATAACGCAATAACATAATCGCATAGTAACACAGTAGCATCATCACACAATAACAGAATGAACATACGGACGTAGTAGCATGATGCTAGAGTAGTATGATCATGAACAAAGCTTAATGAAATCATACCACAACAATATGAAAACATCATGCTCTAACCCTAAACCCTAAACCCTAAACCCTAAACCCTAAACCCTAAACAGAAGAATGGAATAGACGTGCCAGGGTCTCCCGTCGCAGTGCAGCCCCTGCTGCTTCAAAGCCTCCCAATTCAAATGAGCTGGCAGAGCTCGGCATGCAACAGGAATCTGTTTGGGGGGGTTAGGGTTTAGGGTTTGGGGTTTGGGGTTTGGGGTTTGGGGTTTGGGGTTTAGGGTTTAGGGTTTCGGGTTTCGGGTTTAGGGTTTAGGGCTGACGGAAACCTTCGGAAAGGCTCGTGCGGTGCCTGGCTCTTGTCCTGCTTGTCCGGGCACGCTGAAATCCTCCATTCCCTGCCAGTGTCTTGCATTGCGTAGAGGTATCCGAGTTTAGGGTTTAGGGTTTAGGGTCTAGGGTTTCGGGCAAGCTGGCAGAACAAACTTCTCCCCCCCTCCCCGCCCATCCTGAGCGACCACGCCGCCCAAAGCCGGCACAAGGAAATGAATCCGCGGGTAGGAGCCTTGGTGTTTCGGGGTTTAGGGTTTGGGGTTTAGGGTTTAGGGTTTAGGGTTTAGGGTTTAGGGTTTAGGGTTTAGGGTTTAGGGTAGCCCAGTTAACCATATTGCAATAAGGGCACCCTCTTTTGGGTTGGCTACACCAAAAGCGGGCTTAGGGTTCAGGGTTTAGGATATATTGTAATGAGGGTACTTTTCTGGGGTTGCTTACTGTATAAAAAAAGTACGGGAACCCAGAACCAAAAAAAAAGGTAGAGATACTAACAGTCCTTGATAGGGGTTATAATAGGACTATAATCCCTATTAAAGGACTCTTCGTATAAGGGGGACCATCCCCACGGTGTGGGCTACCAAGGAGCACAGGTTTGTGGCATGGGTCGACCAGGTCGGCATACGGCATCCTCGTGGCACTGAAGGCGTGGAGCTACAATCACTACTATAACCTCACGAAAGCCATTCTTAGGGTTTAGGGTTTAGGGGGTTTAGGGTTTAGGGCTTAGGGTGTAGGGTTTAGGGTTTAGGGTTTAGGGTTTAGGGTTTTGGGTTTAGGGTTTAGGGTTTAGGGTTTAGGGAAAAACGGGGGATTTCCTAGGGACACCATGTACCCCAAAAACTCTAACCCCTGTTCTTCGGAAGTCCGATGTCGTCTGTGCCTAGACAATTGCACAGCGCAACGCACGTTCTCCTTCGATGGGGTTGATGATGGGGGCCAACCTCGGCTGCTTTCAGGGTTCTTTCAGCTGCATGACGTTCAGGGAAACTTGAGACTGAGGGTTGAGGGTTGAGGGTTGAGGGTTGAGGGTTGAGGGTTGAGGGTTGCGGGTTGCGGGTTGCGGGTTGCGGGTTGCGGGTTGCGGGTTGAGGGTTGAGGGTTGAGGGTTGAGGGTTGAGGGTTGAGGGTTGAGGGTTGAGGGTTGAGGGTTGAGGGTTGAGGGTTGAGGGTTGAGGGTTGAGGGTTGAGGGTTGAGGGTTGAGGGTTGAGGGTTGAGGGTTGAGGGTTGAGGGTTGAGGGTTGAGGGTTGAGGGTTGAGGGTTGAGGGTTGAGGGTTGAGGGATGAGGGTTGAGGGTTGAGGGTTGAGGGTTGAGGGTTGGGTTTCGGGATGGCTTTTCAACAAAAGTCGATCAATAAACAAGATCACGACAATCCCGATACTGGGCCGCCGGCCTCAACGGTCCAGTCATGCCACTGAGCAGTCGGGCGACGAGGCCGTAGCAAGCGGAGTCACCTGCTAGGTGCAACCTCTCAACCCCAAAACCCTCAACCTGAAACCCTGAAACCCTGAACCCTAAGCCCTAAGCCCTAAACCCCAAACCCTAAGCCTAAACCCTGAACCCTGAACCCTGAACCCTGAACCCTGCCTGGAGATGACAGTCCCAGCCCGTTCACCTTGGAGCCCGCCATCTTCAGGAGGGCCTTCCTGACCGCACATCCGACCAAGCTCAGGGGCTTCTTGGGGTTAGAGTTCAAAGTTTTGGGTTTAGGGTTTAGGGTTTGGGGTTTAGGGTTTAGGGTTCAGGGTTCAGCAGCTCCGGGTCGAGCAATCTCTAGTAGAGCCGCTGTTTGGACTCTCGAAAAAAACCCACCCACCCAGAGAATCCCAAAACATTGAGAACTAAAAAGTTTACATTTTTCATCAGCAAACCCTGTCCTCCAACTTCACTCTGTCATGGACCATCCTACCCACGAACCATTTCATCGGCCCGCAGAGGGGCCGCCAGAAGAAGAGCCAGGGGAGAGTGGGGGGGGGCAGGGGGGAGAGAGGGGGAGGAGCGGGGGGCAGGGAGGGGGGGGTGGCGCAGGAAATGGCCCTTACCTTATAGCCACGAAGAAATGAGCCTTAGCCACAAAGGAAATGACCCTTAGCCACGAAGAAATGACCCTTAGCCAAATGACCCTTAGCCACGAAGAAATGACCCTTAGCCACGAAGGAAATGACCCTTAGCCACGAAGAAATGACCTTTAGCCACGAAGAAATTACCCTTCGCCACGAAGAAATGACCCTTAGCCACGAAGGAAATGACCCTTAGCCACGAAGGAAATGACCCTTAGCCACGAAGAAATGACCCTTAGCCACGAAGAAATGGCCCTTAGCACCCAGGAAATGGCCCTTAGCGACCAATAAATGGCCCTTAGCGACGAAGAAATGGCCCTTAGCGAAGAAATTGCCCTTAGCCACAAAGAAATGACCCTTAGCCGCGAAGAAATGACCCTTAGCCACGAAGAAATGACCCTTAATGTGTATAGGGTTTAAATATGTAAGGTAAGAGAGGTTCAGGTTTAGGGTTTGGGGTTTAGGGTTTAGGGTTTAGGGCTTAGGGTTTAGGGTTTAGGGTTTAGGGTTTAGGGTTTAGGGTTTAGGGTTTAGGGTTTAGGGTTTAGGGTTTAGGGTTTAGGGTTTAGGGGTTGTTTGGGATTAGGGGGTTGTTTGGGATTTGGGGGTTTTTGGAGGGGAGTTTGGGGGGGTTCGGGCTTCGGGCAGACAGGGGAAGAGGGCGCGGACATGCCATCCAGCCGCATTTCCCCCAAGGAATTCCGCTCAACAAACCCTAAACCCTAAACCCTAAAGCCTAAACCCTAAACCCTAAACCCTAAACCCTAAACCCTAAACCCTCCCCTGACATGCCAGCCTGTCGTAAAAGGACACCAGATCGAGATACTCCATCAGAGCTGGCGAGAGCATCGTGCACGCGGCATACGGCGCCAGGTCACCTCCCAGCGGCGTCCCGAACCCGACCCCTTAACCCCGAACTCAATATATATACATATATATATATATATGTGAAAGGGTTTAGGGTTTAGGGTTTAGGGTTTAGGGTTTAGGGTTTAGGGTTTAGGGTTTAGGGTTTAGGGTTTAGGGTTTAGGGTTTAGGGTTTAGGGTTTACAAAAAGATCATCCCTGCCCTGCCTTCCAGCGCAGTATCCGGCACGCCGGTCACTGCGTGCCTGGGCGGACGAAGCAGCCCATATTCCGGAGTTTACCGGGGGATAGATTGCCTCGTCTTCTTGCCGAACTCATCCGTGATCTTGCGATAGAGCCTTGGTCGCAGCGACTGTGAAAGGACCAGGCAGCTCATCCTTGCCCAGCCATCCGGCTTACGACTCAGGGGGTGGGATTGACTCATGTCTTACTCTTAGCGTCATGTCGTTCTTCAGCAAGCCCCTGCATACAGTAACGAAAGGCCGGTGACACCGCGGCACAAGAACCACTGCAGCCGACTGACGAACCAGTGACACCCGCCATGCAAATGTCCTGCACCACAAGGTGAGATCCCGCAGAGTGGTCAAGTACATGATCGCAGCCATTCGGGGCCTGTACTGTTGTAAGCTATGTGTACCGCTTGGAATGTCCAGATGATGAAACTCCGCATTCACTTAATCCGATCAGCCATACCATACGGAGTGAGTGCAAGTGCTTCAAGGCAATTCTGGGATATGTGGTTCAGCCCCGGCGGGCCCCCCCCCCCCCCCGCCCTACCCCCCCCCACCCCCCCCCCGGCCCCCTACCAACCCACACCCACCTACCCCCCCACCCCCCCATGGGGTACTAAGATGATACCCCCCCCCCTGGGGTTTGGTGTGGTGGGCGGTTCGGTTTTAGGGTTTTAGGGTTTAGGGTTAGGGTTTTAGGGTTTTAGGGTTTTAGGGCTTAGGGTTTTAGGGTTTAGGGTTAGGGTTTTAGGGTGGTTTTAGGGTTAGGGTGTTAGGGTTTAGGGTTTGGGTTTAGGGTTTAGGGTCGGTTTCGGGTTTACCGCGGATGGGTACGAAGATGATAAAACACCCAGTGGTGTGGTTGGGGGGTGGTTGTAGGGTTAGGGGTTAGGCGTTCAGGGTTTTAGGGTTTGAGGGTTTAAGGTTCGACCTTAGGTTTAGGGTTTAGGTTTCGGGGTTTCGGGTTAGGGTTTAGGGTTTAGGGTTTAGGGTTATTAGGGTTATGAGGGTTTAGGGTTTAGGGTTTAGGGTTTAGGGTTTAGGGTTAGGTTAGGGTTCAGGATTAAGGGGCCGCTAGAGAGCAGCTTGTGGGGGGGGGGGGGGGGGGGGGATACAATGTGGGGGGGGGGGGAAAGGGGGGGGGGGGGGGGAGGGGGGGGAGGGGAGGGGGGGGGGACGGGTGAGGGGGGGGGGGGGGGAGGGGGGGGGGAAGGTGGGGGGGGGGAGGGGGGGGGGGAGGTGGGGGGGGGTGGGGGGAGGGGGGGGTGAGGGGGAGGGGGGAGGGGGGGGGGGGGGGGGGGGGGGGGGCGGGGGGGGGAGGGGGGGGGAGGGGGGGGGGGGGCTGGGAGGGGGGGGGGAGGGGGGGAGGGGTGGGTGGGGGCGAGGGGGGGGGGGGGGGGGGGCAGGGATAACGCCGACGCTTATGAACACTATATGAACCAGATTTGCATATATATATATATACACAAAATACATACATACATTAATACATTACAACATCATACATACATAAAGACATACATACCATTACATACATACATACATACATACATACAGACATACATACATACATATATATATATTTATATGGTCACCTCCCCCCGCCCATGATCCACACCTGTGGTTTTCCTGTCTTCGTCTTTGTCTGATTTTCTGCTTTTTCCTCGGAAAAATGCAGCAAAAACTGTACTGGAACACAAAAAGCTCTGCTATATTCTCCCCTATAAAAACACTAGTGTTTGTATGTGCATGTTTGCTTCTGAAACGTGTGTCTTGCGGCTCCATAAAAAAGGGCAGCCATTTCGAATTTTGAGGCTTTTCAGGGTTTAGGGGTGTTTTAAAATTTAGATGATCTGCGGAAGGCACCGGGGCTCACCCAGACCATTTCAAATTTTAAAAACCCTTAAAATCCTTAATTGTTTTTGAATGAGCAGCCCCTTTAAGGGCTTCAAGGTATTTAAAGCCATTCAAAACTTTCAGGATTTAAAAGGCTTTAAAGTCCTTAAGAACCTGAAAACGTTTATCCCTTAAAATTCTAAAATACCTTAAATTTTTTAAAGGGCAGCCGTTCAAAATTAAGGAAGTTACGGATTTTAGAATTGAACATCCTACAATCCTGTCCTGTTAAAGGATTTGTAAAAATTTACATGGTCTGGGGATGGCACCGGGTTCTCCAGACCACTGACAACTAACTTTAAAAAACCTTAAAATCCTAAAAGGGCGGCCACATAAATGTGTAAGCATTTTA